GGCATTGCCTTCCCAATTGTAGGTGCCTCTAGGATCTGCCCAGGCTGCCTGAAGGACAAGTTTTCATTCCCAAGCAAGCGGGCTTAAGTATATCATGGGTGGGTTTTGGGTGCCCTCAACAGAATCCAGGGTGAAGAAGAAGCAAATGTGATCTCAGAATGGCAGATGGAGGCATCTCAATCCTCCCAGAAGGCCATGGCAAAAGCAAGTTTCAAAGGAAAGTAGTGCAAAGATAGGGGTGAGGTGGGGGGTCCACTGAGAACTCCTGATCCTCTCACCAGACCATCCCCATGGCAGATCACCCCCATCCTGCATTGTCCCCGATCACTCATCCCATATAAACCCAGCCCACAGAACCAGGGCCCTCTTCTGCTCAGGAAGCTAGCACCACAGAATCCCAAATACACAGAAGGCTAGACCCAGAAAAATTGCTCTGGAGGGAAGTAAGAGTGGAAGCCCTTAGGACCTCAAATCCCTCAACTGCCAATCCACTGAGGTCTCCATAGATATTCTTCTTTCGGGGTTCCTTCTAAATCTCAGAATTTTAGGGGCATCTCGGTGGCTCAGTAGGTTAAGCCTCCAGCTCCTGATCTCAGCTCATGTCATGATCTCGCAGTTTGTGGTATCAAGCCCCGCGTCAGGCTCTAGGCCTGCTTGGGATTCCCTGTCTCCCGCTCTTGGCTCCGCCCTCTGCTCTCAAAATAAATAAACTTTGAAGAAGCTAATAATAAAAAAAAATAAAAACTCAGAATTTTAAAGTAACCCCAGGAGGTGGTGTGGAGTGGCAGAAAAAGGTTGGGTTTGGGTGACAGGAAGGTTAGGTCCAAGCCTTGAGTCTGCCTCTTGCTAGCAACTCACAGAGAGACCTTGAGTGAGCCACTTCCCTCTTCGGGCCTTAATCCCTTCAAATGTGCAGGAGAAATCATGACTCTCCTCCCCACAAAGGCTGTGAGCAGCAGAGGTGGTAATGCGGTGGTGACTTTGCTGTGAGACATGTCAGAGCTGTCCTGAGATGGGGGACACTTGGAGACAGTGCTTCCTTCCTTCCCTCCCTCCTCTCTTCCTCCTTTCCTATATCACAGCAGGGGCCTTGTCAGTTGCACACCCCTCCTTGCACAACCTCCCGTTTGACCCACCCCTCCCCTCCACTCCCCGAAGCAGACATGGCTGGTCTCTTCCCAGTAGCAGTCACTTAGCTTCCTCTTGACTCTCAGACCACAGTTTTGTGCAGGAACTGAGCTGTTTTCTGAATGACCAGGAAAGATGGCCCCGGCACAGCCCCGGGAAAGGAGCCCTGAATGATTTCATCTGTTGTGGTCATTTCATTCTTTCTGGCAGGGATTGCTTTAAGTGTGGGCATGTGACACAGTCCCGGCCAAGGGGGAATAAAGGGAATCTTCTCCTCGGAGACTTCTGGGAAAGGTTCTCCTCCATGATAAAAGGAGTGGGGGAAGTCAAGCCCGCTTGTGTGTGTGTGTGTGTGTGTGTGTGTGTGTGTGTTTGTATGTGAGGCCACAAGCCCGGAGCTTCTGGAACCATCTACCAGCCATGTGGGGACAAGCACAGAGACAAAACCCAGCTCATTGGGGAAGGCAGAGGAGAGAGCTGGTGGATGCCTGGCCCTTGACCTTGTTATCATACCTGAATTAACCTGTCCTGGATCAGTCCTCCAACCTGCACACACCACCAAGCCAAGTAACAAACACCCTATTGTTTAAGTGTCTCGCGTTAGGAATTTGGTTACTTGCAGCTGAATTCATCCTGATACACACTCCTTCCCAGACAGCAACACACTCACCCTATAATGGCGCCTCCACTTTATCCCTGATGTTTGCCTTAACCAGCTCCAGTTCCTGAACCATTTCTCATGAACACACCTATGCCTCCCTATTGCCTGGGTAGGGAGTAGGACACTGAAATTCAAATCCGAAGAGACTAAAGTACCTTCCCTCACCTGGCCACTGGCTAGCTCACCATGCTGTTCTGTTTTATTTATAACATGAGCACGAATGGAAATTACGTGGGGCACTTAGTTATCGTCTCTGTTCTCAAGGTGAGTTCCGGGAGAAGAGGGAGCCTGTTGGTTTGGATCACAACTCTCATTCCGGCACTGTGGTCATATTCTGGCACGTCAGAGCGGGTGCCTAAAAAGTAGCTGATGGCTGCACAGATGAACAGATGGCTCCAGAGCATGTGCAATGACTCCTCTGCCTGTCTCCTTCCTTCCTCCACGTTAAAGCATCCTTTGATCCAAACGGCCACCCAATCTCTGACTCCTCTGAAGTCCCACTAGATCCCCCAATCCCAGACTCCCCACCACTTTCCACTTTGTCTCACTGACGCGTGTGCAGCCATGTTCTCCCCTCCCCCATCCCCAAGTGTGAGTCCCTTGGGGCAGAGTCTTGGTCTCGGGCATCTACATGGACCTTGTGGGTGGCACACGGTTTAAGGGATGAACATAGCATGAATGCCAGGGCTGCAGCTAGCCATGGGGGCAGTGGGTTGCAAGGAGACCACAAGCGTGCTCCCTTAACCTGCTGGGGAGTGAGGCTCACCCCAGAGAGAGGCAAAATATAAGGGAATCAAACAGGGTGCTACAAATGACAAGTGTAAGTCTGGCAACTTCTCTCCCTGGGACTCGGCTCATCAATACAATGACAGGCAGGTTTTAGAGCAGGACCCACCTGGGTTTCAACATTGCTTCTTCTACCGCTTTGCAGTGCAGCCTAATACCCACCGCCCCATCTCTCTGGAGGCATCTCCTCAGCTCCAAAATGGCGTGAAGGACACCCACTTGATGGGGCTGTCGGTGGATTAAACGAGGCACTGAGTGCACAGCTCCTAGCTCCTGGCCTCCCCTCCTCTCCTTGCCGCCTCTGCTGCTTCAGTCCCTGATGTCCCTGTCCTCACCCTTGACCAGTTACCACAAGCACCCCCACACCTTTCTCTGCCCCAAGTGGAGGGACGCATGCCGTCCCAATCGACGACTCCTTCAGTCCACCAATGCTGGCCTGATCCCCAGGGGCCCTGGCCTTCTGACTGTCACAGTAGTCAGCAGGCATTTTATGGTGCACTCACCAGGCTCGTTCATCTTCCTCCTGGCACAGGGAGAAATCCATTTCCCTGCCCCTCTTGCATCTAGGCAGGGTCATGTGACTCACTCTGGCAGCAAACTCTGGCTCACTAAAACTTCCTCCTCTTCCGGGGCAACCTTGGAGGGTGGTCGCATCGCCGTCAGGAAGGAGCCCAGAATGACCAACTAGTTAGGCTTTGGTATGGCTGAGCAGTGACACTCCCAAGATTTTAGGGTTTGCTCATTCCTGCATGGGAGCCCAGACCCCCCTACTCCATCGGATAGCCTGACCCTCACAAGGGGCACCACTTCTAAACCAGGACGCGTGATCTTTGCCCCGTCCCCAATTCAGAGCGAGTCCCTCACTCTCCAGACTCCTTCTCTGTAGAGAGTGGGGGTCAGTCTTTCCTGCCTCCCCCACCCTCTGCAAGAATGTTGACTTCTACTGTCTCCGGGCACATTCACCATCGTTCCTGGGGTATCTGTCACCCTTGAGCACACTGGCTCCTTGCACCCAGCATGGCATCCTGGGGCTCCCCAGTGGGGTACTTAGATCAGACTGTGCCCGGATACCCACCACACCTCCTTGGTCTGGGACTCAGTCTCCCCACATACACCGTAAGAACTCGGAAGCCCCTCCTGCTCTGACATTTGCAAGCCCAGGGAAGTGCTTCTGACAGGGACTGGCCCACGACTAACACCCAACAGACAACACCTGGCCCAGCCTCCCGCCTCCACGTGACCCATAAACTCTCCTGACTAAGCAAACACATTTTATTGGGCCTGGGGACACTTCCTGGCTGGCCCATTCCCATCCTCCCTTGTCCTGCTCCCCAGCATGGCACCCCCCCCCGGGCTCTGCTCCCCATCCTTCAGCGACACGCTGCCTCCTCCCCCCAACACCTGCATCGCCAGCCTTAAGGAAGGTGGAGACTTTCTTCCCTTATCAGCTGTTTTACTGCCCCTCCTCCCTGGTTACACAGTAACTGGGAGTGGAATTCCCAGGAAGGACAGGTGGGTGCCTCGGCAGCTCCCAGCCAACAGTTTACGGGACAGACTGCAAGCGTTCCCTCCGTGCTGTCTCGGGAGACAGGGAAGGGGCATCCAAGCCAGGAAGAAGCAGAAAGGACATAGAAAGGGAGGGAGAGGCACCCTGGGCCAGGAGCCTCTGAGGAGGCTTGCAAATGGAGGCCAGGGAGGGATTGGAAGGAAGTCCGGATACCCTGCACCCAGTCCCGCCGCATGACTGAGAGCCAGCCTGCGATGGTCCAGACATCCCCGTCCTGAGCCTCCACCTGCCAGACAGAAGCACAGGTGCTCCAGAAAGCCAGTTCTGGAGTCCAGAAGCAGCGGAACTAGAAGTCATACCGCTCAAGCTGTCGCGTGGCCCGGTTCTGAGTTGGCCACCTGGGCCCCAGCAGTGGCACGCCAGCCTTCCAGGGGCTGGCCGGAGCCGGCAGGAAAGGACTGCAAGCCAGAGAAAAGGCAAAGGTGGGCGTGTTGCCCCCAGATCTCTGGGAACAGGCTCCACCTTCCTTCTAGCTCTTTACCTTGCCCCCCTCCCCCGACAGTGACCGCGGGGACCCCGGCCTAGCCTGGAGATTTTGAAATCGATCACCCCAGAGAAGACCTTCTGCAGTGCAACTGAACCCAGCCTGGCAATGGTGACTCCCTTGACATCAAGCCTGCGGGAGCTCTGAGCCCACGGGCATGGGGTACAGCCCGTTCCAGCTCTCCCGGTGTGACCTGCCTCCTCGAGCCCAGCAGTGTTTGAAAGGAGCCCGCGGAAGTCCCCATGGAGACAGAATCGTGCTTGGATAATCTGACATGAGGCTCCCCGTTCTCCACCTCTGCTTGTCCTTTTGATTATTACGGGATTTTTTAGGGGAGGAAGTACGCCACCCCCCACCATCGTAGCCCTGGGTGCATGCAAGGTCCCCTTCTGTCCCTCCTCACGGCCACCCACAGAGAGTGCCAACGCAAGCCCTGTCCTCTGCGGGGTATGGAGAGGAAGAACTCAGGGCGCTGCGGGGCCCCAGAGAAGCTGGGGCTGTCCTTCTCCATCGAGGAGATCTTAAAGAGACCCACTGAAAAGAGCCATGTGGTCAGGCCGGAAGGGGTGGGTGGACAAGGCACCAGGCAAGCAGCGGCTGTAAGCTCCGGGCCGGAAGGGCCCCCGCAGGCCAAGCTCCAGGGTAAGTGTCTTCCGGTCATTTTTTTTCCACTCCCAGGTCCCCAGGAGCCGGCTGGGCTCAGGAAGAGAGAAAGCTGCTCTGTATCCATAGAAGAGAGGACCCCAAAATTCAAAGAGAGGTCAGGTGTTGAGCCAGTCGCCTTAAATACCCTTCTGTCCAGCCGGGACTGAGGTTTTCCAGATGCAGATGCCAAGGAAGGCTCCATCCGTTGCAGGATGCAGGGATGCAGGATGCGGGATGTGTTCCTGCAAGCAGGCCACCGCTGAGAATGCCGGGTCCCATGTGTTTACGCAGCATTTCCGCTGCCGTGGGCATTGCCCTAGAGTTTCCTCTCTTGTTTTTGGTAGAAAGGGCACGATTATCATGACTTGACAGATGAGGAAACTCGCCTGTGAAAGGGAAGAGGTGGATGGTGTCCCCAAGCTGTGCAGCCAGGGGGCAGAGACCTGAGAGCAAGAAGGGGTCAGCTGTCCCCAGACACCTGCTCGGTCCGACACATTGTTCTTCGTAAGCTGAATTCAGCCAACATGGCTTTCCATGGCTGAAGCTTAGCCTGGGATCTGCCCCTCCTGATCACCGCCCCCCCCCAGGCTAACTGCCCACCCCAGGACACGTCCCCCAAACCACAATGACGGGGCAGTTCTCAGAGCTCTTCCTGAGAGCCAGTTTGACGAAGGGCATTGAGGCAGACACACGCACCTGCTGGCAGGTCAGGACCCCTCCGGGTCATTCTCCAGCCTGCCCTGGCCTGCTTCGTGACCTCAGGGAAGTCCCTTTCACTCTGGCCTCAGCCTTACCCTCAGGGAACCGGCTGAGTGAGGGATGAGAGAGGGATGTCAACAAGGGTCTGCTGGAGCCTGGTAGTGGGCAACACTGGAGTATCTCACTCATGAGTTTCCCAGTTCCTTCCCCTTTCTACCCTTGTAATCCAGGGAAAGGCCAAAAGGGCAGCTCAGAGGAGCCCACGATGTCGTTTCCTACCATCACCGAGTCCCGCTCAGTCTCACCCAAGTTCAGCATCCCAAAAGGGGCTTGTGCTCAACCACAGGCAAGGGGAAGACCCTGGATGGGCCACCCACCCCCCGGGGGAAGCTGACGGGTATCCCTGGAGCTGAGCCAATCAGTAGGAGAGAGTCCCCAGCTTCATTTCCGGAAGCTCACTAAGATCTTCCAGTGAACTGAATGAGCCTAAGAAACAGTTCTTTGGGTCTAACCTGAGTCTGGCTAGCTGCAGCTACGTAAAATCCATGACAACCCTCTCTGTCCTAATGAGAGGGAAAGAGAGATGGGGAGGGGAAAGAGGGGGAGAAGAGAAAGGAGCAGTGAGGGAAGAGAAGCCAAATCCCCCTCCTGGAGCAACTTCCCTCCCCCTAGCCTGATAACGGCTGGTGGCAAAAAGGGAGCCACTCATTCTAAACCTCCCCTGGAATATGCTGCTATGCTGTATGTCAGTTGCCTTGTTAGCAGACCCTCTAGGAAGGGTTTGCGGAAATAGCAATCGTCTACAGGGTAGTGCCCTATGCCCCCCTCCCCGGCACTCCCCTGGCTGCTTCCCATGGACTTGCCACAGCTGTGAGCCCCACCTTGCAGATGATAGAACTCAGAAGAGAAGTCACCTGCACCAGCGACCTGAGTAGTTAGCAGCACAATTGAACCCTGGTGGCCTGAGACTAGATCATTCCTGAACGTGGCTTAAATCTATACATCTCCCACTACGCTGGCACTGAGCATTTCCAAAAGACTAGAGAAGGTCCCTCTGGTGGCTTCTGAAATGAGTCTGAGGACGACACAGACAGAGGCTATCTACGTCGAGCTCTGTAGCGATTCCGACGCTAACCTTCTACTTACGACACAGGATGCCAGTCATCCATTTATGGACATGCCATGAGATTGCCTGTTAAAACGGATTTACTTATGTAGGTAAAACAAAAAGGCTATTTGGGAAAATGCTAAGCGAATAATAATACAGATGGGTTGCCAACATGTCAGGAACCACAAAAGTAATTTGCAGAAACTGCAAACGAGCTGGCGTCTGTGAGAGGTTAGGCCGGGAGGATGGGGAGCCAGGACTCCAGGAGTCCGGCCTCCGACCCCCTTCTGGGGCTGATTCACAGGAGGACCTCAGGCGAGCTGCTCCTCTTCCTGAGCCTCCACTTCCCCATCTGCAACGTGAAAGACAGGATTAGAATATTCTTAGGATCCCTCCCAGCTCCGACGTGCGCAATGACCCATTCTTCAACAAACTGGTTGCTTAGTGGTGGTGTCACTTGTGGTCATTTTCTGTGGCAGAAGCTTCCTCCCTGCAGAGGGGAGTTGGGGGGGGGAGGGGTGTCTATGCCAGGTGGGAGAGCAAGAGAGCAAATGGCCTCAGCGGCCTCCACCTCTCCCGGCCTTCACAGGGCTCCGTCCCTGCCTGGTGCTTGTTACTGCTGCTCATGCCTCTCACGCAGAAGCCCTCAGAGAATGGAAGTCCACGGGAGCAGAGATGGTGCATCCACAGCCCCCTGCCCCAATAATAAAAACACAGAAATAAGCTGAACACTTAAAGGGGTCCACAGAGTGACACGCAGGCGGGGACTGTCAAGCATGACCTCTCTGTCCCAAATGCCCAGACAGCTTGGAAACATGTGGCACTTCAGGCCCAGCACCCCAGACTCTGCCTCTGGGTCTACGGTGGTGCCCAGGAATCTGCATTTTTTAATGTTTATTTCTGAGAGCGAGCTGGGGGAGAGGGGCAGAGGAGGAATCAGCATTCTAAAGTTGATTTGTATTTTTGAGAGACACTGCAAACATGCCAGTGGGGGAGGGGCAGAGAGAAAAGGAGGGAGAGAATCCCAAGCAGGCTCTGTGCTGGGAGTCCAACGCGGGGCTCAATCACACAAACTGTGAGATCATGACCTGAGCTGAAGTCAAGAGTAGGACATTCAACTGACTGAGCCCCCCAGGCGCCCCGGGAATCCACATTCTAGCAAGCTCTCCCAAATGACTCTGATGTAGGTGGTCCAAGGACCACTCTTGAAGGAGGCTGAGGCCCAGGGAGGCAAAATGGCTTGTTCCAAGCTACAAAGCCAATATGCACAAGCGCGGGGCCGGCTCAGGCATCCAGGCCGGGGCCAGCGCTCTGCCTCCATCGCCTCTCATGGCGGCGACCCTCATAAACTCGGGCTCGGACCCTCCCAGGTCTCAAGCCAGTAGAAAAATCCCAGAGGGTCTCCCTACTTGAAAGAATGCTGAACCCAGCTGCCCGCTCACTCCTGAGAGAGTCAGGCTCCCCGGAAGCCCAGGACCCTCCAAAGTCAAGGGAGGCCCAGTCAAAGGAAACCCCTTTGTACTAGAAGCTCAGACTCAGGGAACACAGAGGTCATCTGTGCCACGGAGGACCCTTTGCAGGGAAATTGTGATGCCCCGGGGCAAAGGGAAAAGGAAGGTAGAGGAGAGGCCACCCCAGTGGGTAACCAGTGCACGGCTTCTGGCCTGGGGCAGGGTGGCCGGGGTCTTAGCTCTGCTCCCATGCAGTTACTCAGAGGCCGACTGCTGAGTGCTCACTCTGGGCCAGGCTGGGGACTGGGGCGTGAACAAGGCCAGTGCTGGTGGCCATGCCCCTGGAGCGGGGGTGGGGTCCGCAGCTGGAGAGTCCTGGCGACACCCGCTTGGGGCAGCGCTTCTGTGGTGGAGCTGGCCCGGGGCAGGGTGGAGTTCTTGGGGTGTGAAGGGACCCTATAGCAGTGGTCAGCAAAGGGCCATTTGGACTTGGCCTTCGCAGATCAACAGTTGGCAGTGTGTAAATGAGTGGGTGTCTTTCTGTTCCAATATAACTTTATTTATAAAGCCAGGTGGAGGGCCAGATCCGCTGTAGTTTCGCAAACCCAGTCTGTGACATTCCATGTCCTTTGCAGACTGCCCCTGCTGTGCTCCTGCTCAACCTCTCCCCCCCCACCCCCTTACCCCCCCAACCCCACCCCGCCCTCCAGGGACACGAGCTTTCCTGCCCTTTAAATGTCTCCAAACCTTTTTTTTTTTTTTTAATGTTTTATTTATTTCTAGGAGGGAGAGAGAGAGACAGCGNGAGCAGGGGAGGGTCAGAGAGAGAGGGAGTCACAGACTGAAACAGGCTCCAGGCTCTGAGCTGGCTGTCAGCACAGAGCCCGACGCGGGGCTCGAACCCACGAACCGCGAGACCGTGACCTAAGCGAAAGTCGGACGCTTAACCGACTAAGCCGCCCAGGCGCCCCATAAATGTCTCCAAACCTTTGGCCTTTAGAAGCCGCTGCTCCTCCTCCGCTTCTTCTACCTCTGTTTCTTCTTCTTTCTGTGCCCCCCCCCCCCCCCCCCCGCCCGCTTCCTCGCCCGGTCCTGTTCTCACGCTTTACCAGAACACGAGTGGCTTAAAACAACGGGAATTGATTCTTACAGTTCTGGAGGTCAAAGGTCTAAGGAGCGCCTGGTTTTCCTCTTTCTCTTCTCTCTTCCCTGCCCCCCCCACCTCCCCGCCACCCTGTGCGTCCCCCACCAGTGTCTGGAACCCATGGCAACTGTCAGCGCTCCGCTCCTGGCCCTGGGAATGAGGAATCCGGGCTGGGGCTGTGCTCAGACCCGTGGGGGTCTCTCCGCCTTGTGAGGAGCGGCCCTCAGACCCGCAGACCCAGGGGCTCGCGTCAGAGCAGACAGCAGCGGGGCAGAAGCCCAAGAGCTAAAGGCCCGGATGTCCCCAAGATAAGCGTGGTTCTGGTCTCCCTCTGCCGGAACCCCTCTCTCAGTCCCCACCCCCAGAGCCACAGCCTAAGGAGACCTGGAGACTTTCCCACAGGGCACCTGGAGGCCGATTCTAGAACCGAGAAGCGGGCTGAATCTTAAGCCCTGTGGGATTACAAGGAAGAACAAGGCTTGGTCACAGCTCACAGAAAAGCGTTGTCTCCGTGGAGCACCCCCCTCCCAAAAAAAAAAAAAAAAAAAAAGCAGACCAGAGGGAAAGGGTTTGAGCACATGTGGTTTATTTGGGA